TACCAACCGAGACTATAGACTCATTCATTAGGAAACTGTTTACTGAACTGATAAATCAAATAAGAAGTCGGCTCATTTCTCCATATTATCAGAATTCTATTTTGCAGCCTATGAAGCTGCCCCCTGCTGGCCATTAGAAAGAATGCCGATTCAAGACACTTCCACTTAGGCTTCACTTCACAGACCCGGAAGCTCTGTCCACTAAATATATACTGTCAATGTTCCATCTCCATCACTTCACCTGCAACTTATAGTGAGCTGCAATGGGTGACTCACACTGCCAGGGAGGAGGTTTTTTTTTTTACTAAAAGCTAGGAAATTCCAACTTTCCTTCACTTATCTGACATCAGGACTGTCAATACACAAGGCAGGCTTTATGTCAGCACGCTGGTTAACATCAGGCAGGTCTGTGTTGCTGCAGCGTGGTTAAAAAGTCAATGTGAGGCTAGGTAGCGTATGATTGAGCTTGTTACTGCAAATTCTGAACGTGTAATTGGCTATCACTACATGCAAGAAAACCAAAAAATAGTCCAATATACACAAAATTCACTGTAAAAACACAGACAAATGGAAACCTGACATAAATTCCCCTTAACCAAAAAATGCTAGGCTTCATTTACTGTTACATTTAGCACAGACATAACATTTGCATTAGTAGAAGCTACTACGGTGGCCGACAAGGGCAAAAGCGCCGCAAATGCACTCAAAAAACTGATCCAAGCCCTTCTTTGATGTGACACATTAAATTGTTGTTTGATTTGCTGAAACAAATCTATTAAACACTAAACAGATGTAAATTTAATTGTGGTAACGTAATAATTTCACCTTGACATTCATGAACTCAAAACAAATGAGTTTCATTTGAATTGGGACCGCCCATTGCGCATGTGCGAAGCAGCGCGCTCTCAGCCTCCGTTCCTCCCGGTCCTATTTCACTGACAACTTCTGCCAACGCTGCTGCAGGATTTTACTTTACAGAGCCACGGAAAGCTGCTGTAATTCCACTCCTTGGTGAGTACTCGATTTTGTTATATTTTAAAAAGCATGCTGTGAAAAGACCGACGAATTTTACCGTCAGTGAAGTCGGACATGGGCTAGCGGGCTAACTAGCTAAGATACATGAGGGAGAATTATGGTTACTCTGACTCGGGTTATAACCACACAACTTTTACTTAAAAAGTGTACATGAACATGAATTATTAGCTCTAACAAATCTGTTTAAGCAGACCCCCCCTCACCTCTCCTCTCCCTTCCCCTCCTCAGTCAGGGTCTCTCTCTCACACACGTTAAACCTGTCTACTTCGATGTTAGAGGCTGTTTGTGGCTTGTAAAAGACCAATTACTCGGTGCAAACTCGGTCGCAAATTGCCGTTTTGAATGCATTTCATGCACGTCATTTATGTGATATATACAGTCTATGGTTACAACACCAAAGGCTAGCTAACAGTCAGTCAGTCATGAATATACAAGCAAGCTTTTTTTTTTACCAATACAAAAAGAGAAGCTGTGGCACAAACATCATCTAATGCTGTCAGGAAGATGAGGTGTGTAAATGTCTGTTATTAATAAATGTTATTGCTTTCTTTCTCTTCGTTTGATTATATGATTATTTTTTTCACATATACAACAGATAGCCCAAAAACCTACTGATCTTCAGATTGCCCTAATCCCTGCACCACCATCATAACCAGATGTCTTTGTTTGTCACCCATGTTTTAGTGCGATGACATCAACATAAGGAGGGAGTTCATCCTGAGAAGCCTTGTTGTCTATGTCAATGAAGACCCAGATGTGTTTTTCAAGGAATATTTGGTAAGTTTATTAAAATTCTCTCATGTAGTATAATTGTAAACCTGCAACATAAAAAATACTCTAATTCATTTTTTTTCCACTTTTCCTGAATTTCCTGTCTTCTGGCACCTCCATTTTACTCATCAGGACATTACTGCAACCTAGTGACACGTAGTAGTCACTGTACACACTGGAAATGATCATACAAAGATACACACAGTACACGCAGACACACATACCTTTATAAGTGGGGATGTATTTGGTTTCTCACTCCTGAGTTTTGCTGAATATTTTCTGTGGTAGATTCTAAAAGGATCATTGAAATTGCATAGTTTTAAAACTGAAAAATGTTGGCCATAAAGCTGCTGACATTATGTTGCTACAGCTCTCTTGCACTGCTATAGCCTTGGCTCTGACAGCTCCAGTTTCAGGCAGTGATGGAGCTGAAGCTGATTGGGCTCAGTCCACTGTCATCCATGTTCTCCAAAATCTGAGGAGCAGTCTGTGAAATACGCTCCACCCTGTCTCACCTCCTCCTCTCTCCTTGTTCTGTCAGTGTCTGCCCACTTTTTAAGCATTTTTCAAAATGATGCAGCAGGTGAAGTTAGGCTCTGACCGCAGGGGTTAGTTACTCTATAATACTGAGACTAATCTAATTCCATGCGTCATTTATGAGAAATACTATGAAACAGCCAGTGACTTCAGGAAACAACACTGATGTGTGCATCAGAAGATTCTGTAAAAGCCTGACACACCACCATCCCTAACCCTGGCCTATATTTTATCAAACATTGAAGGCTACAGCCCGAATTAGCACCTGTTTTTTGACAGAAGCAACTGATGAACTGTTGCTTTAAACTGCTGTATGTAGTAACTGTGCATTTATATGTTGTATATGATTTTCTGTGTGTTGTTTAGCGTTTTACTTATATTTGTTTTCTGTGTTGTTGTTCAGTCCTCTGCAGCTGAGGATGCAGAGAGGGACATCGCCACTACAGTCATGGGGATTTACACAATCCGAAGAGATGGACATGAAGAGCCAGAGGACGTGGGAGTTGTGATTGAGGGCATTAAAGTCCTCAACAATGTTGGCAGCGTCATCATGGGGTTCATCATGCTGTTTGGGCTCATTTATGCTCTTGATCTAGCCTTTCCCGAAAACCTCAAGTACACCTTCGAGTTTTTCCAGAAGATCATTATGAACTTGGATGGACACAAGCTGAATGCAAAGATACAGCAGCTGAAAATCAAGCTGTTTTCATAAGGCGCAAACACTGTGTCCACACATTCAGTGACAGTCAGCATGGATGTTTTTCTTGTTAACTACTTGTGTAGCACATCTTGAAGTGTGTTCCTATGGATAGGCTGTGACTGGACTCAAAGAAATTCCTTTTTTTCTCTCACGTTTCAGGTTCTGTTTTGTACTTCTACCATGTGTATAGTACAGTAAAACCAAAGTTTTTATGTTTAATGTGAGTTGGTTATACCATGCCTTAGCCTTTGCAGATATTGTACTTGTATTATTATTGTACTAGCACTAATACTAGTTACTTTGGTTGAAGCAGTTTTGAAGTCAGCGGATTCATTTCTTTTCTTTTCTAAATATGATAGGTCATACACTGTGTTCATCATAGATAAAAAACTTAAGAGAAGCTTAAAAAGCTAAGCTCTCAGTCAAGGTCAAAGTGCATTTTGAACAGTTTAGTTTGAGATTGGTGGAAGAATTTCCGTGTTTTGTACTGTAGATGTGTGTTAAATGTGGTATATGTATATTTCATTCCAGTATTTAGGCACTACATAGTGCAGTTAATGGTAAAAAAAATGTTCAGGGTTGGTCTGAACTGGTCAAAACATGCCTTAGCTTTTCTGCCTGAAACATATAGCTAGGCTCTGAGGCAGTTTTTCAGTGTGTTTTGACACAAGTCAGTGACTGCCATCATGTTGATGAGTTCCATGTTGATGTTTTATATCTATATATCTCTCTCCCTCTCTCTCTCTCTCTCTCTCTCTCTCTCTCTCTCTCTCTCTCTATAGATATATAGATATAGATATTTGTATGAGGTTTTATTTGTTTTAAATAAAAACATATTAACCAGATTTTGTGTTATGTGTCTCTGAATAATATTATTTTAGACCAGCTATATTAGTTTAAGTTGTACAAATGTAAATCAGTTTAGGCCAGTTAATGTACTTATTTTATTTTGGCTGTATTTGATAAAGATGAGTTTGACCAACTCAATTAAATCATATTACAAGGAGGTACTTAGTTCGAGGTGGGGCTACATACATTTAATGGATGGAAATCCTGCCCAAAATTTATTTGTGTTCATCCAATGAGTTATTTTTTTCAGTGTGGTCAAACGCTGCAAACGGCAAAACGCTGCAAACACGGGAATGATGCAAATACCAAAAACACATAAAACGACAAAACAACTAGCTCCACAAAACGGAAGTGCGCCAGGCCACTAGGGGGACCCAACCTGAGGGATGGACCAGTCCTGTGGGACCAGACCCGAAAGACATGAAGAAGAAGAAGAAGAAGAAGTAGAAGAAGAAGAAGAAAAATGTTTTTCTATTACGAATTATTAAAATATTCTTCTATTACGAATTATTAAAATATTCTTCTATAATATTATAATAATATTATTTCATATTATTATCTTCTATAATATTATAAAAGATTACGGCCAAGTGTTTAAAAAAGACATAAAGGAAAGCGTACCTTTTTACTCTCCTCTCCAAAAGTTAGCCAACTTTCTTATTCTTCTTCTTTGTGTCTTTCGGGTCTGGTCCCACAGGACTGGTCCATCCCTCAGGTCGGGTCCCCGTAGTGGCCCGGCGCACTTCCGTTTTGTGGAGCGAATTTGCAGCGTTTCTCTCTCGCAGTTGTTTTGTGGTTTTGTGTGTTTTTGGTATTTGCAGCATTTTTCTGTTGCATTTGTTTTATGTGTTTGTGTGTTTTTGGTTTTGCATCATTCCTGTGTTGGCAGCGTTTTGCCGTTTGCGGCCCACTTGCAGCCCGTTTGCGGCGTGTTTGCGGCGCGTTTGCCCTTGTTGGCCACCGTAAGCTACTGCATTAGCAGCACTGTATGAAAAGACCCTGACAGAAACAGATTTGACATCCAATGATCTTCGTGAATACCTGTGAATGTGGTAAACAGAAGATGACAATTTGTTTCTCCAAACATTGTACTCCCTCTGTGTTGCAGGTTACCCACGATATGACATCGTCGGAGACCACAGCAAAGGAGAATACTACCTATTGATCCAGAGAACAGAGATTCAAGATGATGCTTTCTTTGAGTGCCAGGCCATCCAGGCGGCTATCAGATCACGGCCCGCCCGCCTCACTGTGCTGGGTATGTCCCAACTCCACACTTCAGTTTATATGGAAATGTATTGCTTATATGAAATCATGAATCAGGAGACAATTAGATTCATGTAAGAGAGCTGAAAGAAACAATAGACATGAATTCATAATAGATCAGACAAGAGATAAATCAGTGATACGTGCCTAAATCAGAGGCTAATCATATAATGACAGCATCCCTCTGTTTTCCATGAGCTTGTCATTTGGAGTTTTCTGATTCACAAAGAAGGCTTTACATTTAAGAGCAGCAGTCGGTTGGCAAGCAAGAACACTGATTACCATGATTGATTCAGCCCCATCTTATTAAAGCATTATATACTTTAAAGGTATCAGTTTATTATTCAACCTTGCAGCTCCAAACTCCCTCATTAGTTACAGTTTTACCCAATAATCTTACAATGGTTCCTTAATGGGACAGTAATGGCAGGCAGGGGGAGTAGTTAAGCCGTTTGGCAATTTTGGCATTACAAATAAGAGGGGTACCATTTGTTTAGACTATTCCCACCCAACTATAAGGTGGAGAAGACAAATCATTCAGATATTAGCCTGAAATTTGATCCCAGTAAAAAGTTCTTTGGGAAATAAAACTGCATATGAAGCTACAGGCATTGTTCCACGTTTGAGGCCCCACAGTTAATACAATTAATGAAATGTGTTGTATAATACCCCCCGAGAAGATATAGAATCAATGTGACTGTATTTTTGAATCTGTAATGGGTAAAATGCTCCTCAACATAATCCAATCAAGAACAAGTATGCGCATTATAGACACAACAAAAACGAACACATATTTGGATGGATTAGATGATTATGCTTTCTTTATATTCATTTTAGTAATTACATTCTCTCCTTCTGTATAAAGAAACTCTATGTGCAGTATTTTGGAAATCCAATTTTGAAGTCTGATTAGAAGCAGCAATAGCTAACACACTATGTATATGGTATGGCCTAGACTCACAGTGCATCCACTCAATTTCCATTTAGCTTTCCATCTCTAATGCTTGTCTTTATGAACAAAGCAGAGCAGGCCAAGATTTACTGAACTGTGTGGGTGCATTGTATAATTCTCCTCACCTCAGCTGTTATTGCAATTAGTGGAAAATAGTTCAGTTAGAAATATATGCATATCTGGGGTGCATCCAAATCGGCAATTAATTTAATCACATGAATGCAAGTGTTTTACGCCGCCTCTTGAAGATTAGCAAAATATCTGGCAGCTGCAGCTTTCTAACAGTAGCCAGGAGGGTTCACGTTCAGATATGAAACTAAAAGGAGGCGCCAAGGTTAAATACTTAAAATACCACACAGTCCCACAGCTTTTATCCAAAGCCTCTTGAAATAAGTACATTCAACCAGGAGGGTAAACCCTAAAATTGCGAGATTGCATAACTTGTTGAGTAATTTAATACCAGGCCAAGACTAAACTTGTCTGTTTCCCTTGGCCAAATATTGTGAAATTCTGTAACTCCAATAAGTCTAAAAGACTGAGACGTCTTTTCTCTAGCACATTGCGTCACATCAGTTATCAATTTTAGGAGTCACATATTCCCAGTTAACCTTAAATTAAAATAATATCAATAATTGATGATCAGCTTTATAGTTTTGAACCGGGGTCTTCAGTATTTGAATCTATTTCTAATAGCTTCTAAAACATATCCAGCTACAGCTGTGAAACTGTAGACTAATTCATTTTAAATGGCAGCATGATACATAGAGGGTCTCCACTGTGTTCTCTCAGACACACTGTGTGATGTCATTCTGCTCTGCGCTGTTAAAGCTGTGCGTTCTGACTTTATTTCTTGGTGGGACGTAGCTATTGTGACCTCAGCTAATGACCATGATCTTAATACCAGTATGTCAAAAACTCAAATGATATTGTTAAAATTATGAATTATACAGTTGTTCACTGTCTAATTTGGGTTAACAACATTCATGATGACTAAACACAGCAACAGTGTACGGGCTGACTGAGAGAGGTATCGGTTACACAGAGGGATCAGGTTTTCTGCTGTTTTCATGGTTGGTGATAGAACTGTTACCACTTCTTCTGCAGAGAATTCAAGGTTCTTTGACTGGGTATGATGTTTTATATTTGTGCTTTTGCAGGTAAACAGTGGTATTTTTTATGGTAGGTTTATGTTGAGCATAAAGAATTATCGTGCCTCTAAAGTACTTTGCACCATATTTTGTTGTTTTGCTGCAACCTGGCATAGAAGATGGCAACTTGTCATTGGAGGGGATTTGTTAGAGAGCCTCATCTAATGCTGACACTTGGTTTTCAGAGAGAAAAAGTTTTCGTCCTCCTTTGGACAGACTAACAATAACCACATTCTTGTTTGTAACTCTGGCACAAAGATGTAACTTCTGAACCAGAGGATTTCTCCCTTTCTTCTTTACATCTATGGTACAATGTGCAGATACATTGTTAATACACATATCTTTAGATCAATGCCAAAAGCATTGTTGAACCTATGGTAAAGGCTAAATGGATCTGTATTTGTATAGCACCTTTCTAGTCTTCCGACCACTTAAAGCGCTTTTACACTACATTCACTTAGTGATGGCAAACCGCATCAAACAGAAACTAACTCATTCATACACACACACACAGCATCTGGAGCAATTTGGGGTTCAGTATCTTTCTCAGCGATACTTCGACATGTGGTGGGAAGAGTCAGGGATCAAACCAACAACCTTCCGATTAGTGAACGACCCGCTCTGCCTCTGAGCCACAGCCACCCTATAGCCTGTGCCACTTAAAGGGCTGGCTAGGGCTTTTTATGCTATATAGTCTTGTAGCTTACACCGCAACCTCACAAGAGGGTAAAGTTCACATGTAAAAACAGGATTTCAGCATTTCAAGTTTAATTTTGAAACCCAACATCTCAGACCAAAGTAGTGTGGTGGTAATGTGAAAGCTCGGAAGAGTTCTGGGGAAACAAACAGATGGTGTGGTGCGATGGGTCTTATGATGTCCTTGGCTGCTCAGTGAAGTCTCAACTTCCCGTTGTTTACTTGGACATAGAGTGTAATAAAAAAACAGGGTTAAAGGTTATATGCATATAATAGCTTCTTGAACAGGTTGTGCATGGTTTTACAATCACCAGGTCAAAGGGTCATGTAGGTTCTTAAAAATTGCCATTACAGTAGTAACCAAGTGTGTGCCTATCGTGATATTACCCATTGGTTTGTGGAGAACCTGTTAAAGCCTTGAGTGTGGCATTATGGCCATCAACATGTTGCTCTTTAGCAGCCAGCAGAGACATACTGCCCTCATTGGCTGTTAACATGTGGACAGCTCTAAGTCCAAAGCTCCTATGCTAGCAGTATAAACGAGATACCTTCCTCAGTGTTCCGAGCTAGCTACTAATAGCTACATGGCTAACTGAGCTAACAGAAGCTACAGTAAGTAGCAGTTAGCTTTTACTTTATCAACAAGTAAAGCTATCTGTCCATCAGGAAACTCCGTCAATCACAGAGAGTTGAGGCAGAACAGACATCAGACAACGTTTCCATCCACCATAATCCATCCAAGCTTCTTCTTGTTGTTTCGCATTTTAATATGATGCCATCCTTCAGTGTAGCCCAGGACACATTCATGTACACATTGGTAAAACAATGTGGCCACCACAGTCTGACCTCCTCCGAATGTGGTCTGAGCAATCAGAACTTAATGCATCCTCAATGCGTCTTGGATGCATTCATACCTGTACTTGGAGCTGTCCACTTCTGACTGGATCATGTTAATACCAGGTGTAAACAGGACCCAAATGACATTTATTAAGTAAATGGTAAATGGTAAATGGACCTGTACTTGTATAGCGCCTTTCTAGTCGTCCGACCACTCAAAGCGCTTTTGAATGTGGCCACATTCACCCTTTCACACACATTCACACAGTGATGGCAAAGCCCATCGAACAGAAACTAACTCATTCATACACATTCACACACCGATCGGGGGCAATTCAGGGTTCAGTATCTTGCTAAAGGACGCTTTGACATGAAATTCAAATTCTGATTCAACATCTGAAAGGTCAGTCAGTTTACATTCATGAACAATATATGATCGTAATTGCAAGTATGTATGAAATTCGTTTCGTGCCAAGCCATGTTTGACCCGCAAGGTCTCAAAACTGAGCACAGTGTTTCTTTGACGGTGAAGCACAGGAATTTTACCAGGATCGACCTGGGCTTGGAGCCATCTGGTGGGAGAGATGATAACGCTCTATGCGCCCTCTGGATCTGTAGTGCTGTTGATGAGGGGATGTTGAGATTCTCCCCAAGGAGCTTCTCCACAAAATAGGTCATAGATTGTGATCCCGATTCCGCTCCCTCCAAGACCCCGTATAGTCTGAGCGTCTCCCTCCTCGAGTAGGCCTACAACGATGTCAGTTTTAATTGAAGCTTTTCCTGTGTTGTTATCATCTCGGATAATATCTCATCTGTACTTTGGAGCTTATCTTCATGTCCAGCGACCCTGGTTTCCACTTTGTTGAGCCTCACGTTGGTTTTGACCAGCTCTCCTCTGATGTCCTGTAGTTGTGTTTTTGTGTCTTTTCGAAATTCTTTCACCTCTTTCCTAACACCTCTTAGTTCTTCCAGTGTCAACATCAAGCTTACCGGTTCTTCCTCGTTCTCTGTCCCAGCGCCATCGTAGCTAGGAACGGGGGAGGCACCCCGGCTAGCCCCGGGAGGGCTAACATTAGCTTCTTCTGTTAGCTGCATCTTGTCGTTTTCGACTTGTTCGATAATTGACTTTTTACCTCTCCTGTTCTTGTGTGAGATATCACGTGGGGGCTTTGTTGAGGACAGAGTGAGTTTGACATTGAACGACAGAAGCAAATGATCAGTTATAGGAAGTTCATCTGCAGTACAGTTGGAGGGAATGAGACCAGAACAACAGACTAAATCCAGAATGTGACCCTTTGAATGAGTGGGAAAGTCAATATGCTGCTGGAAGCCAAAGCTGTCAAGACAGGATGCAAAGTC